TACAAAAATATAAGGAAGAAAATAACTGTCATGCATGTGAGCTGTGAGCATTTCAAATCTGAGAACTGTGTACCTAATGCTTATTTTACCCTCTGATTTAAGGTGTTCCAGCACATCAATTAAAGGGCCATAACTCTGCTTAGGAATCATCAATTTCAATGAAACTTCACCGGACACTTTGTAGATACAAAAGACTCCAGCATGTCAAATTTCAGCAATATCAGACAAGGTTTGTGTCCTTATTAGGTTACAGACTACTAATTTTACCCCTATTTCATTGACCACTCAAGTAGTTCCAGTTTAAAAATAGAGGTTTTTTCTTAAAAATTCTTTGGGGTGTTTATGGGGTGGACTGATGTTATTTTTGGGTATAGATGGAAAGGAGAGGGTTTGAAAAAAAATATAAAATTGTTAATATGTGAAATTTTGCACTTGCGCGCGTAGTAGGAAGGGTGTAAAGAGGCCCATATTTACCCTTTCCCCGAAGAGAAAGTGAAAAAAGCAGGGTAGGGGTTATTTGCGATGCCTTAGCAGGAACTGCATGCGATGAATTTTCCTGAGAGTCTGAAAATTTTTTGGACTTGAATTCTTCTTACTCTGTGCCAAGTTTCAGGTAAGTTGAGCTGGTGTAATTTTTTAAATCATTTTTTATAGTATAAAGGAATGTATAGCAAAATAATTGGTAGTCTGTGTCCTATGAAGGGATATGAGCATTTGGACCAGTATGGCGGCCAACGGGAAGTAACTCTTGGTCAATCGAAAACTATCTATACATGTATATAAGTAGACACCATTGGAAAACATTATTGTTAATTTTATCACAATAATTATACATTTTTTATTGGTTAGGAAATGTCATCAACATCGCAAAAGCACGCAGCTTTTATTCAGGGGCCGTTGGGGTTAAAACCAGTAACTGCTTCGCCCGGTATAGGACCAGTCATAGGACAAAAAATGACAGAAGCTGGCTTTGGTTCGGTGAGTATTAGAGTTTTACAAGTAGAGCTTTTTAAAAAAGCTTCCCGTCTTTAGCAACAATCTTAAACGGTAAACTGATCTACACCTATCAAGCCGTATAATTCTTTTGAATTTTGTATTTCTACATTAGCCTTTTACTGGCATTAGCTCTACCACGGTTGTCGCTCGGTCATCTCCGTAAACTTTGACTGGCCGAGAACTTTCGGCAAACCTCGGCTGATTCCATTCCCTTCTTCAAACAAGAAAGGGGAAAAGAATAATTACAAATTGTAAAGCCTGCAAGCTATGAAAATCAAATTTTATTTCTAATGAAATTAAAGAGACCTTTTTATTTATTGCTATAAAAAATGCCATGTTATTAAAAATTAACAACTGCTGATTTTGCTGTTCGTTTTGTCATTTTTTTAAGATTGGAAATCTTGCAAAATTGTTAAGTCGTACGAAAATTAGATCATCAGAAAGTTATCTCCCTTGCCTTGAACAGCATTTCAACCAATGAAATAATTGAAAATTTTCTCATCATGCAATTTCTACCAATCACAAAAGGGAGGAAGTGCATAGTCCGAAGACTGTAAAAAACTTCAACTATACAATACCGTCTTCCAAGGAAGACGGTAATGAAGAGACTTACTTTTACAATCGACGACTGACTTTTACAATTTATACATAGACCAACTCCATTACTTAAAATGTAAAAGTTAGCTATCGAATGTAAAAGTAAGTCTCTTTATAAAACTCCATTACTGGTATATCACTTCTAGGCCATCATCAAAATATCTTTGTTAAATTCCCCTCACCCTACTCTTAAATCACAAGTTGGGTCGGTAGGTAGGTACATTATTTTTCTCTTTACAGCAGCTTTAAAAATATATGTTAAATTTAATGGAATGATGCCTTTATAGAATACTTTAAAAATTTAATTTTAATAAATTCTTAGTAAACGTTTTCTCCCTTCCTGTTACAAGTGTATTTTAAGAAAGAATTAAAATGAACAATATAGTTTCACATCAAAACATAACAATATACATTTATTGACTGAGTTCGAGGGCAACATGCGTTTTGTCGGACCCAAGAACCAAACTGTCTGCCTGAGGCCGTTAGGCCGAAGGCAGACAGTTTGGTTCGAGGGTTCGACAAAACGCATTTTGCCCGAGAACTCTGTCAATAAATGTTTTGTTATACCTTTCATTTTATTTTATTTTATATATAATTTATATATTTACACGTATTTTGTACCTAATTCCGTGATGTAACATCAGATCTATCACTGTTTAACACCAGCGAATGAAAATGAGATTAAGCTCCGCCCACTCTGTGACGTAAGCGGTCCTGACCAACATCTCTCCGAGCGGTCCAACATCTCACTGAGCGGTCCAACATCGATTTTTTTATGCCCGCTCAGCAAAACATTAAAAATGTTAGACTTTTTTTTACATAGAATTGTATAGGAACAAATTTCTAAAGGTATAACAAACACATTTAATTGAATGCAAACTATCAAGTAAATCATACAGTGATAGGTTTTATTTTCAACATAATATACATGTATCTAAAATTTTGAAAATTGTTACAGGCCTCCCAAGTTTTGGGACAATACCTGATTGACCCACCTGGTTTCAAGGGATGGGTGCAAGGATTCGGAGCAAATGCAGGACAGCAGACAGCCTGTTTCAACGCTTTTGATGCCTGGTGTAAAAATTTTGTGTATTAAAAAGTTTACAAGGATGTTGAATTTTAAAACTTACTTTATGTCGAAGAAGAAAAGATATGAAGGTAACGAACAGTATTCAATCCTAAAGTCCATAAAACAATACAAAATAAAGGGAGAACAAACTCGGACCCACGAAACATCAGAGGTGGGATTAGAAATATCTTTAATGGCAATGAAGAAATGAAAGAGTGAAATCTCTTACACAATATTGAAAATGAATCCGACTTTTCAAACCCATACCCGTGATCAGTTTCACGGTATTTCTTACAAAACATCACACAATTTTGCCTGATTATGTTATGTGATGACAAGCTCACATCACATGTGCTGTGTCTATTTTTTCTTTGTATTACTGTATTATTAAATATCTTACATGCATTAAAATTGCTAAACTTATTTTGCTCAGTATATATAGAGTGTTAATCATTCAAATGATGCACCCTTGTGGGAAATGGGAGCCATCCTTTGATCTGTCTAAACACCTGTCACTTTAACCATTTCAAAAACTAAAAAGTTTTCTTGTAGAAATCCACACTATGATGCACACTATACAGAAGTTATTCTGAAAATTGCTTTATTAATTAAAGACATGTATAACATCTCTGATTATACCCATTACACATCATGAAGATATCAACAAAATTCATTCATAATAAAACAAAATAATCTCTGCACATTGAAAGACAGTGGCACAATTGTAATTTGCTACAAACATATACATCTATACACGGGAAACAGAAATAACATCTAATAATGTGAATCAGGATGTTTACATATAACGTCAAAAGTACCAATTTTGACATAATATCCTGTCCAAGCAAAGGCAAATGGCGTTTCTAGCTTTTCTCTTCATAAATCAAAAATTCTCCATACTTATAATTATTTTTAAAGTATGGAAAATTTATTATTGATGAAAAGAAAGGATAATTTTAAAAAATGTTAAGTGTCTCTGAGTTCACCGATGAAAAATTGCTCTTATCAACTTGTGGATACATATGAAGCAACCACATGTATGTCAGAATTTGAAGAAAATTAATAATTTAACAATTTACAGAAAATCTTGCCAAATTCTAAATGCTCTTTATAATAAAATGCAAGACACAAACACAATTGAAGCAAGTATCTTCATCTCTTTTGCAACAGTTACAACTATATTCATTATTATATCGATTTTGCTCAATACTCATTCCAAATGGTAATGCCAGCTTTTAACTTATGGTTAAAATGGTTAATTCAATGTAGACAAATATGATGTACTCTCAGATTTTCATGTTTAGACTGATATATACTTTTTTAAAATAAAAGACTTACCAAATAAGTTCTATTGGTGGTTTTTAAAGTTGCTAGTCTGCATTTTCATAAATACATGCACTCAACAAATTCAATAGCTAATACAATTTTAAGTATGGTTTTAGATAAATACCAAACAAAACACTATAACATAAATTATAACAACAGTCTAAGGGAAATAATCGACAAGAAAAATTTGACTTGCCTTTCTTTACACACCCGCAATGTATGTATGTGTACATGTAAATACTGTAAAATCACATATTTCTGTGGGTCAAGTTTTTGTGGTTTGAGGAAAAAGTCTTGGTTTTCGGGATTTTATTTCATGGATGAATAACTGTTGAACAGTTATTTATGTAACATTTTACATTTCCTGGTGGACACGAATTCCTGGGTCTCTTAAAACCTCGAAATCAAGGAAAATTAAACCCCTGCAAATATTTGTGATTTCACATTATTAGATGTTTATATTAACACATATAGTTTTGAATGAATGCACATTGTTCACTAAAGATGGAGAGTTTTTATATGTACTTCCATATGGCAACCTCAACATCCTAATTTTAAATTAAAATTCCTGTAAAAATGTACAAGCACATTTGAAGATTTTTTTACCTTCAAATTAAAAAAAAGAAGAAGAAAGAATTGCATGAAAATTCATAAAATTTAAATTTAACTAAACTAAACATACTTAACTAAACACAGATATATAATACATTGGGCATTTTTTTTTCAATATGAAAAAAATTCAAAATAGTTTCTAATATAGTTTCCATACATTCAAAAGGTTCACATTATTCTGTTCATAATTCATATGTCATCCCTAATACATGTATATTTATAATATTTTTAATCTTCTTTTCATCCTTAGATTATTCTACATTTAAGAAAAAATGGAATGTAAAATTATCTTTGATCCTCAACAGAATTCAGAAAAAATGTTTTATGATACAAAACTGACAGATATTGTAACAATCTAAATAATGAAGACGTACATTTTTCCAAGGGGTCATAATTCCATGGAATCTATATTTCTGTTCAATCTGCTGGTAGAAAGTTATGCATATATATTAATACTCTCCTTATATGCCTGAAATGTGTATAAATTTTGATGGGACAAATTTCTATGGAAAATTTGTGACCATATATATACATAACATAAATTAATACCACGCAGAAAAAATACTTCTACAATGATACAAATAACCAGTGATGCAATAAAAAAATGAAATACAAATACTTCTGACATTATTTTGCTTTTCTTTAATAAAACCATAGATTTGTTTCTTTTTTATGAACCCTTTAACAATGTTTATGACAATTATCTTAAAATTATATATATAAATAAACTTTGATTTAAAATCAAATAACAATTGGTCACTGGCAGAATATTTTGTCATCAACCAAATAAAAAATTAACGACATAAACTCTGCTTAATACCAAAAAAGAATTACACATCATAATAAAAGGTTATTCCTTTTGACATTCATTGTAACAAACCAAAAAGTACCAAGATACCCTCAAAATAAATAAATAAGTTTTGGCACTAAAGCAAGATGCACCAGTGAAAACAAGATTGATGTTTTTAAACCTTGAAGTGTGTAAAAGGTTGAAGACACTCAAATTTCAACAGTACCAGATACTTATGATCATCTTAAAATAGAAAATTTAAGAACAGGAGTAGGTTGTGCCCTTCCTTTCTGCTGGTACTTGACGTGCATCAAGGCCCTGTCCCCCGAAGTTCTGCCCTCACCCTTGGATTGCCCTGGCCCTGTGTTCTGCCCTCGCCCTCTGCCTCACCTCCTAACTATCTGACCTGGCCCACCGTGTTCTGCCCTCTGACTCGCCTCCTAACTATCTGACCTGGCCCTCCGTTTAATTGTGGGGGTTCGGCTGCCTGTAGGAGACTCCACCATTAGAAAGCTCTCCTCCACACTCTTCTTACAGTACATATAGAACAGCTCAGCCGACTTCAGAAGGATCTCATCCAGGTTAATCTTCAAACTGTTAAAATAATGATGGATTAATTCTTGCGTGAAATACAGGGAAATCACAAATTTTTGTGGGGGGGGGGGTAATTTTCATTTTTTGTTTTGTTTTCTAGATGAATTCATGTCCACCACAAAATGTAAAATGTTACATTCAAAACTGCTCAACATTTCTTTATACTATATCCATGAAATCAAATCTCCACCAACCAAGAGTTTTTCCTCAAACTATGAAAATTTGACCCCATGAAAATATGTGACTTTATAGTACCTCTTTTACCTTTGAAAATTATGATGATTTCAAACACATTTATCTAGTGATTAAATCTGGGAAGATTTTTTTTTATATTCAATACAAGCATATTTTTTTTCTCTCTTACTTTTTAAAATAAGCTTATATGCTTGTTTAGAACAAATTCATACTACAAATTGTAAAGCCCTTTAAGCCTATGACAAGCATACAACTAACATTTCCAATATTTTTTCTCTTTTTCTTTTTGGGTTTATTTTCGAGATAATTAACCAGTTCTACACTTGGGAATTCCCCCTTATTTCATTCCCTATTTCATTCCCACTCTTTTTCCCTGCTCTTGTTAAAATTTTATCCCCCCGGCCCTCCCCTTTTCCTTTTTTTTTTTTAAAGTTAATGCATTTTGTGATTAAAATACCTGATAAGATCCTGTTGCTAATCTGTAACCACCTTTTATTTGAACTTCCTCTTTATAAAAAAGATTTTTTAACCTTTCCATCCCTATCTATAATTACATGTATTGTAAATGGTGACTGTCTATTCAGAACACCTCTACCCTTTTCCTTCTGAACAAAATGTCCATTCAGAACACCTCCATCTTTTACCTGTTAATGACAGAATACACTGCAGCAGTATCTGTACACTCCATCAGTTCTGGCCTACATTCCTGGAGTAAGGCCACACACATGAAGAGGTCAAAGGTGTACTGAAATTCCACATCAGAGGGAAGTGAAGATCTCGACACACCACCTTTAATGTTAAAATAATCCTCATTCAAGTGAAAGTTTATCAAGATCCCAGTTTAAATATCTGCAAAGACGGGACTTGTGACAGAAAATATTTAGATTTAAAAAACACAGCTCTAAAAAGATTTGGTTACATGTATTCTTCAGCTTTTTCATAATGAACAAGAGGCCCACGGGCCTTATAGGTCACCTGAGCATTATGCAACAACTTTCCAGTTACTGAATTTGATTCATGTTTTAAGCCAGATGCTATATGGCATTCACAATTTTGAAAGAGGCACCATTGGTCATCATAACAATACACTTAGCAGTTGCTTAGCTTGGTTACTGAATACCCATACACAGGGTAGGGGAACAAAAATGCATTCCAACTAATCAGTAATATTAAGCAATAAACAGTAGTGCTCCTAGCACTGTGACAAAAACCCCTGACCCTAGGTCCACACATTGCACAAATTTTAAAAAGGCACCCTTAAAATTGCCTATCAAACAATAAATAAATGTTTTATAAATACAAAAGAGCAGATTTCAAACAATTAATTCATTTTCAGTATATAAGTATAGCCCCTTCCCCCCAACACTGACCCTGGGGCCTTGAAATTCACAATTCTGCAAGATTAGGGTCCTTACTCATCATAACTATATAGGTAGTTCATCTGCTTCATACCCAGAGACAGAGAAGAAAATTTTCAAAGATTTCATGTATTTTCACTATATAATCAATAGAGCCCCCCCCTCCCAACACCAGAACCCTTGACCCTAGGGTCATAAAATTCACAATTTTGGTTGAGGCACTCTTGCTGATTATAACTATGCACTTAGTTAGTTTATTTAATACCCAGGAGCAGAGAAGAAGATTTTCAAAGAATTCATGTATTTTCACTATATAATCAATAGAGCCCCCCCCCCCCCCTAACACCAGAGCCCTTGACCCTAGGGTCATAAAATTCACAATATTGGTTGAGGCACTCTTGCTCATCATAACTATGTACTTCGTTGGTTTATTTAATACCCAGGAGCAGAGAAGAAGATTTTCAAAGAAATAATGCATTTTCACTATACTTAATATTTAGCCCCGCCCTAGCACTAGAACCCCTGACCCCAGGGCCATGAATTTCACAATTTTGGTAGAGGACTCAATGCTGATTACAATCATGCAAACAGTTTGACTGCTTGATGTCCAGGAGTAAAGAAGAAGATTTTTAAAGATTGCATTAATTTGAGTGGTTTTGGTCCCACCCCTCAGGCCCCAGGGGGGTAGGGATCATGAAATTCACAATTTTTGTTCCCCTTCACCCATAGATGCTTTGTGCCAAATTTAGTTGAAATTGGTTCAATGGTTGCAGAGAAGAAGCTGAAAATGTTCAAATGTTAACACACGACGCACGACGCCGGACGAAAATGGATAGCAATAGGTCACCTGAGTTTACTCAGGTGACCTAAAAATCATTGACCAGTGAATATCTAGAGCACTGTAACTGATGGTTTCTTCAGAATGGTAGATTAAATGAACAATAAGTACTGTAAATCACTTTTTATTCGTGAGAACTTTATTTTCGCGTAATTACGCGAGACAGTGTACTCGCAAAAATTTAATTCTCGTGTATAATAGTATTCCTTAAGAACATATAAAGCAATGACCACAGTTTGCGAAAATTTTGTCTCGCTAATCAAGAGTCAATGACTATCTCGCGAAAATAAGGTGTCACGAAAATTTAGTGATCTACAGTAAGACTATTGTCCAAGAGTGACAAAAAGTGACATTTCCAGAAATACCTCTTTATTACACTACGGCTAAACCTTGAACTCTGACCTTGACTTTCAAACTCTTTCTTGAGTTCCAGTCGTCGAGTTTTCTCGGCCTCCATTGATGTGAGCTCCAGATGATGGCTGCTTAGTATCTCAAAGCATCTCAGAGACTCCATAAAGCTGAACTCACGCTTAAACCCAAGCAACAGCCACCTACAATGTGTAAGAAAAATCTCCAATCATTTATTACCTGAATTAGTGCTGCAAAATTTTATGTAAATTGTAGCTCATCAATTTTCTTTCTGTGCATATTTTACAGTAATTAAAACTTGAATTTTGATCATTGACTTATTTGTCTTTATCTGCAGTAATTGATGTATTTCATCCACACCTATAGTTTTTAACCAATAATTTATGGATTTTATTTTGTAAAATATGCCTTGTTTTTATCTGTTTTTCAGTCTGATTGGTGCTTTCAATGAGAGCCCCCCCCCCCCAAAAGATTTTTCTTAGGGGTCTAACAGCAACATGATAACTTTTTGAGAATGGCTTACCATTTAATCCCTATTAACCGCCCTTGCCACTATAAGCACCCCCTTAGGTGTTTTTCAATTGTCAGGAAATAAGGGCCCCCTGTACAGTGATTATAATCATCTAGAATCGTGTTAGTAAGTTTGCCAAAATTTGAAGAAACTGAAAATGAAACCTGTCTATAATCCAATTTCTCGGTGGAAAATGAATCATTTAGCTTAATTTGGGCTGATTATCTTCGCTTAAAGTAAAGTTAAACATTATTTAAGTCGTTCTTTGATTTTCTTTCTTTTTTCGAAGATTTTTTTCAGTTAATATATGACATTAAATATTATAAATAGAATACTAAAATAAACGCCCCCATTTTACAATCTTCTATGCGCCCGGGGCGGTTAATAGGGATTTTACGGTATCTGTAATTCATGTGTGTATTGCCCTGCACCTTAAATGTCCTACACTGTCTTGGCTATGTGACTGTAACCTTAAAACATGTACAATCATAATTATGTTAACCTGTGGCAGAAGAGCAGGTCCCCGAGATCATTCGCCTTCAGATGCTCTAATAAAGCAGGATCCATCTCTTGTAGGAGTAATACAACCAACTCTACAACAGACCAATCAAAAGTCAAGAATAAATATAGCATTTAATATTGACCAATCACAGATGCTGTAACAGAGCAGGATCCATCTCCTGCAGGAGTAATACAACCAACTCTACAGCAGACTAATCACAAGTCAAGAATAAATATAGCATTTAATAATAATGACCAATCACAGATGCTCTAACAGAGCAGGATCCATCTCTTGTAAGAGTAATACACACAACTCTTCAAGAGACCAATCACACATCAAGAATAATATAGCATTTAATACTAACTAGTTACTGATATTTGATCATTCATGAAAGCATTAGGCATGGTTTCAATTAGAACTTTACAAAGTGATGTTTTTTTTTACTATCAGTATGAGTTATAGGAAATAGCTGTCACCCTAGATAAAGTAAGGCTGTAGCAAACACAAGTGTCATATTCATGATATATATAGAGCATATCTATATTGTGTGATTTGATATTGGCTTTATCCAATGAGTTGAAATTGTGTATATATTTGCAAGGCTTGCCGAGCGAATATACACTATTTCAACGAGTTGGATAAAGCCAATATCAAATCACACAATTACAGATGTTCTATTTATCTCATGCGACTTTCGTTTTAACAAAACTTTGAGACTTCCCCTGCAACACTACATGAATGATTGCTAATTCAAATTGATGACGTATAACTTGATGACATAGTAGGGTTGATGTTGAAATGCCTCGAAAGAAAGTAGATCCTGTTTAAAATCTAGAATTTTTGCTATCTGCGTCTTTGAAAACATTATGTGTCAATTGCTGGATCTTTACATCAAACGAACTTCTGACTTAAAGTTGTAAGGACTATGGGATCCTGAAAATTAACTCTGTACGATGGCAGTACAAAATGTGTTAGGCAAGTCTAGGCGATTCATTGTTGATTCATGGTAAGTTACACCTACATTACTAGGTAGGCATACGTAGTATAATATAAGAATTCAAAGTATTATTGAAGATGTTAAAGGAATGTTATAACAACAACTGCTAGGCTAGCTTGACTTTCTCCAAAAATGATTAAAAGGGGGGGGGGGGGATAACATCTGTCTTGAAGTAGCCAATACAAGCTCCTTGATAAAATAAGACACTTCTTTGACATATACGAGTCTTTTTCTTGCTTGCTGTTAACAAACCTTCACCCTTTATAATTCATTTTATTAGGGCAATCATTTTCACAAATAAAAATTTCAATAAAATAAAATCTTGAAGCGAGGGATCGTGTCAAAACTGGAAGTACTATTGATAAAGCATCTACCCGTGGTTAAAGCATAAGGTTATCTAATGGGCTGTATCTCCAACACGTATGAGATATAAACCCTTATCATTTTCTAAATCATAATCATGATAATGCTGAATAGAAAACATCTAATATCAAAGACTTCAGTATACAGTGGAATGTTTACATAAAGATGTAGATTCTTCACACCCATCTTGTAAACTTCCCTATCACAACAGAGTAATTTACCTATTTTGCTGACCATTCCTTCCTCTGTAAACTCATGCTGAATTTTCTGTAGGTAATTTGTAAAGCACCAATAGGCCTCCACCTAAAATAGTACAAATGAAAGTATACCTTAAATTCTGGTAACTATATCATTGCATTTCAAGTACTTTGATTATTACTATACATTTCACATGTCACAGGTATTTTGAAGCCTCCACAATCTTAAGTCTTCAGTTCGACATTTTTTTTTCTCAGCATTTTTTACTTCCAATAAAAATCTCTCTATAACAGATAAGAAGAACTTGTAACATACTTTAAATGTTTAAGTGTATTCATTATTTGATATGAAGAGGCCTATAGTTTTCTGCTGACAGATTGAATGAAAATTTTGATCCTGCCAAATTATGACCCCATCAAAAAAAGAAAAGAACTATATGCGGTATATTGCATATATTTGCCCCCACAAAAGTCAAATTTTGAAAACTTCCTGAAATGCGCTGAATTCAATAAATTGTATGAGAAATATAAATAAACAGAACATATTATAGTTTCAAAGCAGTTAATTCACAATTTTTGTTTTTATGACGTCACAAACTAGTCCGATTTTATATCCTTTTTCAGAAAGAGGACAAAATGGACAAAATTTCAACAGTTTTAGCTTTAGAATTTATAGAGCGCAAGTTTGTTCAGGAACAATATTTACATATTTCATTGATATTATCATTCTACACATTATATCAAAATATCGATCCTGAACACACATGCGCTCGGTGACTTTTACTCAAAAAATCGACGAAATATGTACATTTTTTCTGTAGAATTCATGAAAAACTGAAATTTACGTCATGTTTGTGACGTAATTACTAGCTATGATGTCATTACTTATGAAAATATTCAGTACTTTGAAGTCAGCATATTCTCCCCTGTTTAAGAACTTAATTAAATATATCTCCATCAAAGTTTCATTTGGGGGGCAAATATTGGTTATAACCAAATAAAGTTCTTTACAGAATTCAAAGAAATCAGAAGGGGTGCACATGTTGTGCAAGATGAAAAAAAAAAGTTGAGAAAAAAATACACGTTACAAACCTCCGAGTCAAAGACGACCAGAAACTGGGCCAGAATATCGTTCATCCCCTGAGCATACCCGATTTGTGGATGGAACGCCACAAAGGTTAACAGGATGTTGCGTAATACTGTCAAGTTTGGATTCATTGTTCCTCTGTTACAGTAATCAAAGGAAAAAGTGAATACAAATAAATATCAAATAAATATCAAAAAGATACATTTTACATACTCTCAACATGCTCAATATCATATGACCTTTTTTTTCCTTCAGAATCCTAGTAAGATGGTTATTTTATATTTGAAATAATTCATAATGAAAACATATTGTATAGGTTGAATTCTCTGTGTTAAATGCTTGAAATTGCCCTTATACCACTTGGTTTTATTTTGGTACAGAATATTCATAGAGGGAAATCGATAAGAATCATTTTTGCAATAATTCTGAAATTTGAATCAATTCTTCCACTTTATTCAAATACTGACTTGAAGTATACATCTATATGCAGGAATTAATTATTAAATTAATGAATTTTTCCTTATGATAAAATACAGACTTGAAGTTATTCTACTAAGTTTCTCTTATTATGAGGTAAATTAATTCAGTTTTTAAAAAATATGTGGGCATATTTCAAGCAAATTTAAAATATTTTATATGATGGCCTTAATTCTAAAATTGTACCATCTACTGGTTTACTGACTTGAAGTATACCAGGTATCTATTTGTCCATGGGAATTGAATTACTGTAAAAGCACAAATATTCAAGGGGGATTTAATTTCATTTATTTCATTGTTAACAATTATCAACGAAATTAAATCCCACATGAAATTTTACATGATTATTTATTGAATAGGATTACTTTCAAAACAACGAAATTACATGCTTACAAAACTATTTATGATGACAAATAAATGAAATTTTATCCCCACAAAAACTTGTGCTTCTACAGTAAATAAGTAATTTTTCTGTTTAACTGAAATACTGACTTGAAGTATTCTAAGTCTCTATCGGTCCGCGGGACGTCTTTGTCAATAACACGGAGATGGTCCAACAAATTCTTCACACTTATCTTCTGTCTATTCACATATACCTACAAAATACAGTAGGGTGGATAAATTTTCAATAGACATGACAAAATTAAAAAATTGTGTTATTTCTGTTCATTATCATCTTCACTACTAGCCAAGGGTTTTCCGTCCACTCTGCTCCCCATAATGGGGAGCGGAGTGGACCGAAAACCCTTGGCTAGCGAAGATGGTGTGTTACCGTTATATAATCATGTTCTAGACACATAGCATTGAAGGGGTGGGGGCCCAGGGTAAGGGGGCAATAAATTTAGTACTGAAAAAGTTGGATTTCGGTAAGTTGAATATCTTTGCTCTGGCTCCCAATCCCCTTTCAAAATGATGTTATGTCCCTGAATTTGACCCTACTGTATGCTGTATCCCCATGAAAAAGGTATCTACCAAAAGCTCATTGTTCTAAAAATTTTTTGACCAATTTACTTACAAAAATAAGTTACATGTGCATGATAAATATATTTCAAAATTGTGCTTATAAACTTAAATAGCAGTGATTTCTGAGCATATAAGTATTAAGTAGTCTAGCTTTTTCAATAAAAATCTTCGGAGAGCAGCAAATAATAAATAAGTGCCTATCTATCTATCTAGAGCAGGTTAAAAAAAATCTACAAATTTCAGATTACATATTGAACATGTTGAAAAAAAATTGAGAATTATCTTTTAGAAAGAAACAATACCATTTATAAATCTAAGATTCTTAGAAATACAAACAATTGTTCCAGATTCCAGCTAGCCTACATGATCATGAAGATATAGCAATCTAGTAATAATTACCTATAGTTTTATACTAAACATGCTCATTATTATATGACAAAGACTTTCTTGTCAAAATAAATGCACAATTCCCATAATGTTAAAAATGAAACATTGCATGCATTGTTCACGCAGTATCATGCGCAAGCAAGAACGTCTTTCTTAAGAAAACAGAATAAAGGATGCAAACATACTGTCTTTACACTTTATCAACCATTCAGTGGTTTTGTTTTATTAGGCAAAAAGGGGCAAAGATGTATTAATTAACAGTTCATGATTTGTTCATTGTGTGACGCTTTCTTTGAGGTATGTTATCTAATGAGACTAAAATTGCTGGTTTAAGTGGTTTATACTAAAATTATAAATTGGAAACATGCAGGCTCAATTAGCATGATTAAAATCATACAATTTAAAGAGTTTCCTTTATAAATTAAGGAAATGCTTAAAATATATATTAACAACTTCTTTTGAACACAATAAAATGTACTTGAAAAAAAAGGAAGTGATGGTGCGTACACAATTTTAATCATATCTGTTATGTTTGAAATTTTTTGTTAAGTTAAAAGAATAAAACTTCTCAAGAGGGGCAATATATTAATTGAAGTACACAAGAGTGTATAGGCATTGTGTTCTTTATAACATGACTGTACAATTAATTAAAAATCATATCAAATGTATCTTAAATATTTCATTAATTAAGCAAATTAAAAAAAACACTTAACCATTATAACCATCACAACTATTTTCATACAATAATTTTTTTAATGAATTTTCTTCAGGACACACTACCTATCTGAACAAAAAATTCACTCAAAAGAAGCATAAAAAATCCCAAATAACATTACAAATTGCAAATACACTGACTGTATACCTGAGCCTGAATTTTCATAAAGTCGATTTTCTGTTGCATCTCGGGGGACGACACGTCAATGTCGAAATTTCTGGACAGGACCTTGAAGTCTGGTTTTTCGGCCTTAAATTTCCCGTCCATTAACATCTTCTCCATCATCTCAAACTCTGAGATATGATCCCCAGGGCTGTGGTCTGGGCTCCTAATCGTGTTATTTTGATCTTCGATTTGGTACCTGGCCACCAGCCCCTGTTGTAGCAGTGTAGCCCCTGGGTGGGCATTCAGAACCAACATGGTCTTCCAGCGTGACTTCATTTCATGATACTTCATGATGTAGTCTAAGAGTAATTCTTCCCGCTCCCTTGATGTCGAAGTACAGGGGTAGAGACCAAAGAGAAACTGCCAGGCTTTTTTCCGGAGGTCTGGTTCCACTCCACCCATGAATATGCATTTCCTGAAAGCATGTTCGTCTACGAGTCTACCGTCTTGGTCAAAGAGTTTCTCAAATATCTCTCGAGATAACGGATCACCTCTTCTCTTGACTGGAGTTGGGAGTGACTCGTTATCATCAAAGGGGATGGCTTTAGAGTTCACTCTGAGAAAATATGGTTTTTTGGCTGTATAGGAACCTAGCCTCCCTCTGGTTTCATTGTCTGAACACAAGCACTCTGATTGATCCCCTTCATTCTCACTTTCTTGTGACGAGGAAGGTGATTGGGTCTTTGAATTTTGGTTTTGGCATGAGCATGATGATTGGTTACAAGAACATGATGAAGATGATGCACTGTCTTGCTTTGTTATTTCAGACTTCTCTGATGTTGGCACATTACTGGGCTGACTAGAAATTTCACATTTTTCACAACTGTCTTTTGAGATGCTGTCTGTGGTATTTTGACTAGAGATATTTACAGAACCTAGGTTTGATGCGACACAGTTGACACAGTTTTCAGGTTGGGGCCCCTGGGTGGGGTCTTTGGTTTTGTTCTTCGTTTCTGGGAAGTCTATGAATTCAAAGGAGTCATCAACACTGCAGGGCCTGAAAATAGAAGAAATCAAAATATTTAATCATTTTTTAATGTCTTTTCAATATGTAATGCCCATTACGATCGGGTTCGTGATGCACTGACTAAATCAACTGTGATTTTGATGGTACAACATACTGTGCTCACCCTAGATAGAATGTTCTATCGTTAAAATGATATTGTCCTACGGACCCGGTTTAACGATAGAATTCGTTCCGTGTATTCGTAATGTAGCAGAAAGAAACATGGGCGATAACTCGCATAGTGCATTTACTTGGAACAATCTAGAGAGTTCTGAATGTAAACATGGCAGGTAATTTGAATCTCGAGAAAAACGTTGAGAAAATTAATTGGATTTTCGTATTCATATGGATTATTTTTGGGGATAAAAGGCATATAAGCAATCTCAAGAAGGTTTGTTTTGATGATTTTCGTAGTTATTCCCAGTGCAAATCATTTTATATTCTTCAAAATCGTTTCGGAGCGGATCCGCTCCGATTTGCTACATTGCAAGTATATGGGACGTATTCTAACTGTGGTGAGGGCCTGTACCGAGACACAGTTAGATTATTCTAACTATGCTCGCCCTAACGGTCACACCTTACAATATTATTTTTAAGAACCAGACCCTGTGTTTTAGGCCTATGTCAAATATTACAATAAATTCACGACTTAATCATGTAAAAATACTCCAGTATAATATTAAAAAAAAAAACGACTCCCTCTCAATTAACAATTGTAACCGATATGACGCTCACAACATTTTAACCCAATCACTGTCTAAACAATGACAGGCACCTCCAGTTTCAACTTAAATGTTGGACATGACAAGAATAAAGTAATTTGCATAAACAACTCGACCAACTTCAATCAGCTGTTCATCTGTACATTGCAAACGTTTAGACGTCACTTACACACATTTGTTGATTAAAACGAATTAAATGTAAGTGTTTATTATGTATCATTTATCATCCAAGGTTCGGGGAAAATGATCTTTACCTTTGAACTAGATCCATCTTCGTTTCCCGTTCACCAACGGTGCCTTCTTGAAGTTCTTCTGTCATCTTTCGTCATAAGTACGGAGACACACACAAAGAGCAATTTCATTGGATAAAAATAACTTCCCATATACTGAACCATCTGCTGGTAATTTGGTGAAGTGAAAAAATGCCCATTCTAGTTATCTAAATTTTAAACGTATTTGCTATTTAAAATTAGAATTGATGAATAAATTAATGGATTCATAATATTATAATAATAGCTAATCAGTAGAAAATATCAATTCTCTGCGGAGCATGAAAACAAGCAGTCACTGAAACGAAAACAAGTCCTCAGAAATACGGAAGAAAAATATGTTGACACTCTTCTATCTTGTGCTAGGTAATGCGTGTAGATTTTCATTAACACTGTCTATAAAATCCTTAACAGAGACAGTTGTAACATATCCTATTTTCAAAGTGGTAGAACGGGTAAACATGATGTGGCCCTATTTGCATAATTTTAGTACACGTGCACTTTGCTCAAAATAATATGATTATTGATATTTTTCCACTCATGACTGTTTAAGATTTATCGATTTTAGGCTTATGTCGTACACCTTTTCATACCTGTTAGTTAGTGCATGTGATAAACAAATTTGACTTGAGCTCCATAGTTCCTGAAACAATTAACGCTTTACAAAAGTATATAATTTAATTAAACAGCTCTTATAAGCTCATCTTCTTAATGGTTTTAGAATCTGTATGTATCAACAGGAACCTATCATATAAACTTTGTTACTACAAACTCAATGTAATTAAGATTAAACTCCCAAAATGTCCCAGAGAAAACAAGTGTAATGGTTTGGGCCGTGGATATCGGCTTATCATTAATCATTTAGTTTGCTTCTGAGAATTCTTTATAGGACTATAAAATGCTAGACTTTGAATAAATGCCATTGAACATGTTCATTTTGACATGTTTGAGCCTCTCTTATGCTTGGTATGTATCCCTCATGTCCATGGTATGTGAGATAACAGATTTCCAGATACCAAATTCCCATTATGTTGTTGGCCTGGCCTTATCAAGATTTAGATAATTTGCTGTAGAACATTAGCAGTATTAACCCAAACAGCTGCCATTGATCTCACTGTATTTGTTATTTGTTACAGGCTTAGCCTCATCAACATTAGCTAATCCAACCACAACAACAACAGCACCAACAACAACAACTAGAGCCCCTGATCTTGCCTGTCCCATGTGGAAGTCATATGTGGACACCTTTAATCGTGGGGGTGGGGGACAGTCTGTGAGAGACAGGGGGGTGATGTTTATGTGTAAATTCCACCCAGAGAAGTGTGAACAGTTGGACTGTGAAGGAAGGTTCAGCAATGCATTGGTAAGTTAGAGTAAAGGTTCAACAATGCATTGGTAAGTCAGAGGAAAGGTTCAACAATGCATTGGTAAGTTAAAGGGAAGGTTCAACAATGCATTGGTAAGTTAAAGGGAAGGTTCAACAATGCATTGGTAAGTCAGAGGAAAGGTTCAACAATGCATTGGTAAGTTAAAGGGAAGGTTCAACAATGCATTGGTAAGTCAGAGGAAAGGTTCAACAATGCATTGGTAAGTTAAAGGGAAGGTTCAACAATGCATTGGTAAGTCAGAGGAAAGGTTCAACAATGCATTGGTAAGTTAAAGGGAAGGTTCAACAATGCATTGGTAAGTTAAAGGGAAGGTTCAACAATGCATTGGTAAGTCAGAGGAAAGGTTCAACAATGCATTGGTAAGTTAAAGGGAAGGTTCAACAATGCATTGGTAAGTCAGAGGAAAGGTTCAACAATGCATTGGTAAGTTAAAGGGAAGGTTCAACAATGCATTGGTAAGTTAAAGGGAAGGTTCAACAATGCTTTGGTAAGTAAGAGGAAAGGTTCAACAATGCATTGGTAAGTTAGAGGAAGGGGGTTCAACAATGCATTGGTAAGTTAAAGGGAAGGTTCAACAATGCATATATTATTAGAGAAAAGGTTCAGCTATGCAATGGAAAGTTAGAGGAAAGGTTCACTAATGCATTGGTTAGTTAGAGGAATGTATACAGTGTATCATATTTTTCGAAGGAAGATATATTAATTATCTTAATATTTCTCTACATGTATATAGAGAATATACAGGGACCATTCCTTGACATTGAATATAAGAATGTATTATAATTATATTTCTGACTACTTGCCTTTACAGACAGGAACCTTTCAGTATTGTTTGAACATGATCCTGAACCACTGTGATAATCCTATCAGTATGGATGTTAGCATCAGCGTGGATAAATTCAACTTTAACTTCGCCCAGCGAGTCACACACAACTCGCAATTCCCTTTGACCATCAAGAACCAGAGTGAGGATTTTCCGTATTTTTTTCCCCCTAAAAACAAATCTTTGTAAATCTTTTTTAATTCACAGATTTTAATACATAGCTTTACAATACATATATACATTTTCTGTAAATTTTTTATGAGAGTAGAGAGAGAAGAGAAAGGATAGAGAAAGAGAGATAGAGAGAAGAGAGAATTAAAAAAAATCATAAGCATGCAGATTCTTCCAGTACTCAAAGGCTTTGTCAAAAGTTACCTGATTATTGTTCTTATATGCAGTATTTTTATTCAAACTTTGTAAATCTGTCTCAGTATTTCTTTCCACAGGCACTTTGGTTATAGAGTCCCCCATCTCTTCTCCTACTTTTCCCTTTTTTGTGAACAATGGGGAAAAAAATTAAAACATGTTTTAAAGACAAAATGGGGACATCATTGAAAACATGATGAATAAATGAGAAAAGAGGAATAGGGAAAAAAGTGGTGATCCTTGATTTGAAAAAAAAGGAAAAAGAGAGACCTATATGCCAAGTGTCTGTGTTTCTTTCTCAAGGTCATATTCTACTTATAAACTTGAATTTTTCTGTAATTGAATCTTTTACAGATTTCAGTCTTTCTGGGATTCCCCTCCATGAGTACCTGGAGTTCACCCTGGTGAAGCTTAATGCCACAGCTGTAAGAATTGGAGTGAGTATCTGCCAACATCAGAACAGTTTACTAACTTAAGGTTTTTCCTTGCCTTTGAGTTCCAGAAACCTCCATGTTATTTTGGTATTTTTCCTCAACTTCTTATTTAAAAGGAACCCCTTCCCCCTTTTTTTGAAGCATGAAGACGTAGTATGTCAATTTTGGCAATATATGGTAAACATTAAGTTTTTGGTCTCTTCATACCCCCCCCCCCCCAAAAAAAAAAAAAAAATTAAAACCTGCCTCAACAAACATCCCCCCAAATTTAAAACCTGTCTCATCAAACATCCTCTCCCCCCCCCCCCCCCCCCCCCCCCCCCCCGAAAAAAAAAGTCATTTCACAGTAATGCCTAAGAGCCCCATGACATGGAAAGGATTACTGTATAAGCAAAAATTTTCATTAGGGATTAAAGTTTGTTTATTTCATTGGTGAGCATTATCAATGAAATTAAACCCAAAACCAAATTTTTATAAAGCTATATATTGAATATGTTGAATAGGATTACTTTCCAAACAACGAAATTAAATGCCCACTGTATACAAAGTGCTAATCGAAAATCTACTTGATTTGGATCACTAGCTATATTTGTTTGGATCATTCGAAGTTTCTCTCTGCACATTAAGACAAAAAAAGTGTTTTTATATACGTTTTCTTACTGATAATAAAACTTCTTCAAACAATATGAGACTTCTTCTTGGTATATTTAAAGATTATCATATTTTTGTTTCATATACCCCTCCATAAACATTGGTAGCAAGCATTTTTCACGCATCTAATGGTCATTTTTGACTGATCATCCACTGGAATGGACTGTTGACATTATTTCAATAAAATATTTATAGTAATGTTTAAAATGAATCTTTATCAAAGGTAAGCTATCAAATTTGACTACAAGGTCTTCTTTATAACTTGACAATTGCATCAAATTTGCACCTACCCAACTTTTCCAGAGCTATACTAGGTTTGTGTAGAAAATATCCAGAAAGCTATCTTTGTTGGCATGACAGCTATACTTTTTTCGAGTATACATATAGCATTTAGGCCTAGTGCAATTAGTAAAATAATTTATTGACGTTAATTTTTGTTTACAACAGTACTGTACAATATTTTCTTCCCCAAACTCCTCTTACATTTCAACAATGGCCCAGTCCATAGGAGGTCCATGTGTCATATGCTCACCTTGAGCGTTTTATGCTCAGTCAGTGAGTGTGAAACATACGGGGTATGTATTTATATAAAATAAAGAAAAAGTAGCGTGGCCTCTTGGTAAGTTACTTAGGTACGAAGGAGAGTACAAACACACAGGTACCTGACGTTACTTATTTTTCTTTTTAAATAAAAAAAATTATAACCCTACTTAATAACATTTTGAACCTTTCGTGAAAGTATCTTTATTAATTTCTAATGGAAACAACTGTAATGACGTTTTTATTTCGTTAATTTATATGTTTAGTTCCATTTTTTCATTCCGGAATAAAGGATGCCTCCAGCATAAATTTCTTTTGGAAACGGGAGGGGGTTACATTGTTGTCCATAACACTAAAAGATTCTTACACAAAAACCCTACTTTATGGTTGCGGATGGGGTCGACTTAATTTGTGGACAAGTTACATTCTTCCATATATATTCTCATTTTTCCTATGAACTGATGACAGTCATTCATCAACAAAACATACCAAATTAAGAATTTTAATGTCGCTCACCAATTTACATGTACTATAATTGTAAAATTTTAAACAATTTTAAAGATCGATTTCAGCTCTTAGACTTTACATATACACATGGTTTTGTAAATATTTAGTGGTATATTTATGCATTCAAAATTTGGATAAGAAATTTATGATTAAAATGCATTCAACTTCAAATCTTAATGCCGCTTCGTTCATTTACTAATTTTAATTCAGCCAAATAAGCGTTAAGAAGAGATTGCATGGAATATTTAAAATGTTTTTATGTAATAAAAAGAAAACAAACGGTTACCGCATTTCTCAAAGAAATGCATGGATCTTTTTTCATAGAAATCATGGCATATCCGTGCAAATCAATTAACTTCCGTAACTATAATTCTTTTATCGTAGACTGACTGTTAAGAGTTTGTGTTTCTTGGGGAGGGTGGCAAAGTTATTTTGATATGGTTACTTCAATATTCTTAAATTTAAGTGAATTTGTAAAATTTATCAGGTTTTGATTCCCTGACCTATATCCGCTTTTCTGGATCTGTATATGGGGATATACTGAGTAATGCTAAATTTTAATTATGTTCCCCAAACGAAGTTGGGGAACATATTGTTTTTACTCTGTTTCTTATTATTATTATTCTTATTATTATTATTTTTCTTCCTGGGAAAATTTTGTCCACGAATGATCTTGTAAACTACACATCCGACTTAGGTGAAACCTTTTTAGGTTAGTAGGCATGTTATGTAGATTTGCGGAATCAAGGTCATTTTGCGCGCACGTGCTTGCAAGAGCGCGCACGTGCAAAACTTAACATGACCAATATATAATGGATATAACCGTAACTTTTCTATTTTGTGACGAAATGTTTTGAAACTTACAATGTAAGGATATATTAGTAGTATGCACAAGATGACATTGTCAAAATTGCAAGATCGCACGCGCATGCACGTGCGCTTCGCTCTGATTGGCTGAAACTAAAGTTTCAATATCTTTTTTTGTTTTTTGATAAAATCCTTTGAAATTTTGAACATAGTCATACATTAGGGAGGTCTACAGCCTGTAATATAAGATTTATCATGAAAGCATGTGCATGCACATGTGCTTGCAAGAGCTCGCACGTGCAACACGAGAAATGTCCAATATAATTGATACAGACGTAACTATTTAAATTATTTATGAAATGCTTTGAAACTCATATTATAAGTATATATTAGAAGCATAGACAAAATGACATGGTCAAAAAAGTAAGATCTCACGCGCATGCACGTGCGCTTCGCTCTGATTGGCTGAAACTAAAGTCTCAATATCTCTCTTGTTTCTTGTCATAATCCTTTGAAATTTTGAACATAGAACTACATTATGAAGATCTACAGCATGATATATAAGAATTTTCATGAAAGCATGCGCATGCCCGCGTGCTGCAATCTGATTGGCTGAAACTTTAAATGGCTATATCTCCTTTGTTTTTTGACGAAATGCTTTGAAATTTAAAACATAATCATGCATTAGGATATCCTACAATAAGATATAGAAAAAAATCATGAAATCATGCGCTTGCACGTGTGCTGCAATCTGATTGGCTTAAACTTGAAATGGCTATAACTCCCTTGTTTTTCAACCAAACAGGATGGGATTTAGAATATAGATAGATATAAGGGACTCATACAACAAGGTATGGTCATCATGCACGTGCACGCACGTGCGTGCATTTGGAATGAGTGAAATGAAAAATACACTTGAAAGAGTGATTTTTCATACTTTTGGACTGAATGCTTTAATATACTGTATATAAAATAAATAGATATGTAGACAAGATGATATGATCATAACGCACATGCATTCACATGCGCACGGGTGCAATGCTAAAATTTGAATATAATTGGTATCCTTCTGAGAAAACGTTGTTAAAGTCAAAAATGCACAGAGTTTGTTTATTTAATGAAGCTTACAGGGAATATGGCACCAAATGGGCGTTTGGGAGCGTTTGGGGAACATCTGTAACGGTTCCCGTTACAATTAGCACTAGTTTAACTTTTATCTTCATAGATTCTGTTTCAGATTTTTAGTTTTTAGTTCTGATGTCTGATGATAGTGTGAAAATAGGTGAAATATTACAAAAGCTTTATTATAATCTCTTTATCATAGATTTATAAAAGAGAGAAAAAAGTGTATATGGCGAGGACAATCACCCGCTCTATGACGGAAAAGTTTCAGGTGCCTAAGAGGAGTAGACATTCCTTGTTGATTGATCACATCCGCTGTGAGCCATATGTATTGATCAAGTAAACGGAGCGTTTCGTAATCAAATTTAGTATAAAAACAAAACAGTTGGGTGAAAGAAGTAAGCCCCCCCCCCCCCCCCCCCCCAAAAAAAAAATAAATCGACCTAAGATAAATTAAGTGATAAGTTGAAAAACATTACTTGTCTCAAAAAAATCCTTTCTTTAGAGCAAACTGACACACAAACATCAAGGTGACACCGGAGCATCGTGGTTAGCGCATTCAGTCTTACGCCTATCATAAGCTTTGGAAAAAGTTAGATTAGTTTGTGAAGCCCTTTTTATCCGTTTTACATACCTTTAAAACATAAGTGAAAATATGTTACGTGTATTTATCATTGAGTTATTTAATGACAAAAAATTGAGACAGTGTCTTTGCATTATACTCCCCCTATATATACGCCTTTATTCTTCAAGAAGTATTCTACTCAAATCAAACATAGCATTTCTGAATCAATCACGACGAAACGCAAATCAAGTATCGCACAAACACGAGCAATGATAGTGCATTTCCTCAATTTCTATAATTATTTATTTCTGTTTAACTTCTCTCGACTGATAAATGTTTCTCTTGTGATAATAAATGCCAATATTTTTTTCAAAACTGTTTAAATCGCGATAATTTTATCAAAAAACAATAAATCTTAATTTCATGCAAATCACAAAAAGGATCTGAAAAAAGTATAGCCATCGCAAAAATGTGCTGCAAACATAGTATAGCATTCACTCAAAACAAGAATAGCTAAATTTCTCTAAAAAGCGTAATTTATAGAAATCAGATGATGTTTCGTGTGTGAATTGAGGCGAAAACTTAGATACAATTACTTTTACAACAGAATATAGTTTGAAAATATTAAGAACAATTGAAATAATTCAAAATGAGCGAAAATCCCATTTTAACAAAGTAAATGAGAACGGTATCGAATTTCTAATATGTTTCACTTGAAAAATTTTCTCAAATCAATTAACATTGATTCTATAAAGGTTTGATAAGTTTCCTAATTTCTTAAAGTTACTTTTACCTATATTTTGCCCGCAGAATTTTTTTTTACCCATAATGCATCAGAGTACCCAAAGCAATATAGCAAGTGATCCAAATCAAGTAGATTTTCGATTAGCACTTTGTATACAGTGATGCCTACTAAACCTTTTCAGATGACAAATTAATAAAAAAATTTATCCACTAAAAATTTTGCTTCTACAATATGTATGCTTTTGTTGCTTCCCAGAATCTTGATGTTCTTTTTCCCTTTCATTATGTAGATGAAGCTGGCGACAGAGTTGTGTATCCCAAACCTCGGTTGTACCTTTAACAAGAAGATAAATCTGATACCAGACAGTGTGGTACCTGTCTCTACATGTGCTAAATCAACCGTAACACCTCTACCAAAGGCACCCAAGTGTGGCAAAGGAACCACTGGTGGTGGTGGTGGTAAAGTAGTATTCACCACCACCAAAATGCCACCACACACCACCTACAAGTCAGGTATGGGTAGTGTAACGATAAGTTATGCTGTGGTTTTATTCACCATTATTACAATGCCACCAAAGAACACATTCAAATCAGGTATATTCCTTGAACGCTCCTGCTCCACCCACTGAATACTTTGATTGGTTAAAATTACTAATAAATATTCATGAGGGAGTAGTCCCAGGGAGTAGCTATGATTTTCCAGGGAGTAGTCTTCAGATGAGGGAAATAGTCTCTTCTCGGTGAAATAGACAGTTTTATGGTTTTAATTTTTTATAGAGTAATTACAGTAGAGGTGTAATAATATAAGATATACCGTAAATCTGGAAATTTTTACGTCGATTTTATTTTGCGAATTCGGGTCAGAATGGTGTTGATTAATTTTTACGTTTCA